ATGAAGATACCGGAGACTGAATCAGCTGGGAAGTGCTTCGTCTCAGGCTATCTTTAGAGCATATCGGCCCTTGAGAGATTTTGGCCGAGGATCTCGTACCACGGTTCTGGTTTTGGCCGAGGAATGCCACCGGCGGTAAGGCTTTTGGCCGAGAAAAAGCTTCCTGCGGTACCTGGTTTAGCCGATAAACTCCAAAATGCCATTTTCATAATTTTTTCATTTTCTTTCACCATTTCTTCCACTAGTTGCACTTTTTTCATTCCAAATAAGCTCCAAGGTACCTGATTGACAATCCAAACATGCAAGGCTCACTTGGACGTAATGCAAACTCTTAAAAGCTAAAATAATGACTAAGTACAAAGAAATCTATCTAAAATGCATGAATAGGACTATTAATTTGGACTTAAAATGCATCCTAAATGAGTAAATATATGAATATATAACCCCCCCCCCCCCCCCCCCCCCCACCCACACTTATCCTTTGCTTGTCCTCAAGCAAAATAGAACAAATGAGAGAGAGAGGTTGAATGTTTGGGATATCATATTCCTTAAAGAGAGATGATCATTAAAAGAATTCAAAATTCACTGTCCTAGTTACTAGTTCTAAAATGCAATGCAAGCAATATATTTGAATACAACAAGTTCAAACCCTAATCTACACAAACATTCTTATCCCTCAGCTCTTTGATATTCATTAAGTAATTTTAAGTGGATCAAAATGGTACACATTCAAATGAATTAGCTTGGCTAAGGGTGAGGTTATGAGACTTAAATGATCTCATTCAATGCATAAGTGGGTTCAATTCAGCAAGGGATCTCTCTTTGAATGATCAAACTTTAGCAGAAGGCTAAAGTTAAAAAGCAACTGATGCATACAAGGGCAAGAACTCATCTACCCCAATGCCTAAGATGCATCCAACCTAAAGTCTCACACTTAATCCACCCTCTCATGAACCTCTTTCTCTCATCTCACTCATCTTTTCTCACTAGGGGATCACTCAAAACATTTGCTGGTGTCTTTTCTTTTCACTTCTCATTTCTTAACTAGCCTCTTCTCTCATCAAACTTTGATGCTTGAGCCATTTTGGCCTCTTTTCTTCTTTTCTCAAATCTTAGAGGCTTCTCTTTCTTTTAAAACAGTTAGAGTTCTTCTTTTAAAACTAGACACCAGCCAATTCACGTTTTACACAATCCCCTAGTTCTCACACCTCTCTTTTCTTTTCACTCTCTTTTTTCAGCTCACTCCCCATGGACTCTTTCTTTGATGCTCTCACCAACAAACCATCCCCCCACACTTAATCCTCACCATGATCTATTAGTCCCTTGATGATAGAACTTAATATCATGAGAACTAACCTTTATTGCTCTAAACCTTACACTTTCTGCTAAGTTTGATCCAAGGTGGCCTCTTAACACTCACAAATATTTGGCTTGAAGGAAGGATTGGTTTAAGGTGTGGTAACTGTTCCAAATATGGGAATCAGCTATTTGAGCTAAGGAAGAGAGTGGCAAAAAAGGTTTCTAGCTCAAATATGTATTTGGTATCCACAAGTTCATTTGAAAATGCACCACATGATAATTTCAATTTCAAATTTAGGTTCCAATTTCTAGAGCTGAGTTCAATTCAAAACTTGCTTCAACCCAGATCTAAACATTTGTGCACATTTTATTACTTGCAAGCATCAAAGAACTAATAACTAGGGCAATGAATCAAACTCTTAAAATGATGTTCTCTCAAGGAAAAATCTATCATTACTTCCAATGCATATGATGCAAACCTATATGAAATGTAATCTAGACTGAATCCCAAAATGTGAATGCAACTAAATGAACATTTTTCTTGTGAAAATATTTCTAATTTTTTTGGTTTTCTTATGCACTTAAGACTCAAGACTCTAAAATCAAAAATAAGATCATAGAAAACATGATTATCAAACACAAAACCCCTCCCCCACGCTTAAATTACACAGTCCTCTTTCTAATAAAAGCATGAGAAAGAAAATAAACAAACATGAAAAAAAAGGAAAAACTAGATGCTTGAATGCTATGTACAAGTTTGGAGTGTTACCAGATGTGTTTGTGATGGAAGGGAGGAGTGAATTTATGAATCAAAGGAGGCTAAACATCATTGGAAGTGTTCTTGTTTTGATGCTGCTCCTTGCACTAATCTTAATGCGCTTGAAGTGAGGTTTAAAGTCTGATCCTGCACCTTTGCACCCTTTCCTTGCCTTGTTGCATCGCCTTGATCAGCTCTTCATCAACCCGAGGCACCAAATTCTGGGGTTGTGCTCATTTTTCCAACCCTGCCACGCCTTGGCATCACCCGCGGCCTGAACTCGAGGTATTGAGCTTTTCACTCGGCTTTGAAAACAGGCATGCCTCAAGTGGACTTATGCTGAGGCATACATGTCGAGGTCTGCATTTTCTGGGTTTGATCCTTCTTGTTCCACTATGCCTTGACTTGCTTTATGGCGAGGCTTTGCACTCGAGGCATCGATCTGGCCTTTATTTTCTGCTTGAAAAATCGCCCGGCCTCGCCTTCAACTTGCGGCCTCAGCTCGAGGTTTTGAGCATTTTCATTCGGGTTTTGGCCTCAACTTGAATTAACTCGAGGCATATAAGTCGAGGTACATGTGAAATTTCCTCCTTTGCTAAAAAAAACTATGCCTCGAGTAGATTTAACACGCGGCCACAAGGCGAGGCATACCCAAGCACTTAGCCGTATGCTTCATTCTCATCATCATGGTCTCCTTTGCTTGGGATTTCAAAGCACAAACACCACTTATGTCCTGAGAATACTCAAAAAACACATCAAAACATCGTAAAAGATAAAAAGAAAAGATTAAAAGACTATGTACAAGGATAAGCTTCGGTGTCTCCCAAGAGCACTTTGTTTTAAGTCACTAAGTTTGACTTTTCATACTCTTTTCTTAGTGAGGGAGAGGGGGAGCATTGATGCTCCTTGTCTTGTCCTGGAATTCAAGCTTGAGGCCCTTGTTCATCAGCTCTTGAACACCCTTAGATCCCATGTCTATGAATGCTTGTGTGAGAGGATTGCCCTGACCTTAGCAAATGGTCTTGATCCTCCATTGCCTTGAATCTTGTAGTCTACAGCTCGACCATCAAACTTCCAAGGAGTAAGAGTCAAGGCTTTAGAAGAAGGTCCAAGGGTAAATGGTTTGGTGCAGTTTGGGTTCTTTCCCTTGGATCCTGAACCATTGCCCTTGGAGTTTTTCAGCTCTTTCTCACTTGGTGTATTGGACAAAGATTCTAAGCAGGTTTCATCCTTAACAAAAAGATCCACATCTTCATACCTAATGACAGGTTTGGATTGGGGTTCTTTCTTCTTTTCCAAAGCTGGAAGGGGTTGAGCTTCTTCTATAATACTAATGCTTCCCACATATTTCATCTCATAGTCCTTGAACTCATAAATCTCCTGAACAATAACACCACAAAAATTAGCTGAAGGGGGCTTAACAGGGTGAGAGACTTCTTTATCTACCTTTGTGAGCACCACTCTTTGGGTATCAAAGTCAATTCTTGCTTATGTGGTGTTGAGAAATGGAGTTCCAAGCAATAGAAGAAGCTCTTTGGTTTTATTCATCTTCATGACTACAAAATTATTGGAGACTATGCATTCACCAATCTTTAGAGGATAGTCTTCAAGGATCCCATATGGTTTCTTTGAGTGAGAATCTCCAAAGGTAATTGAAGAGGGGTGATGCTTTAGATTCTTGATCCCTAATCTCTCTGCCATGTCTAGAGACATCACACTAACACTTGATCCAGAATTACACAAAACCTTCTCAACCTTGAATTTGCCAAGAGAGCATGTGATGGAGAATTTCCTTGGATTTCCTAGCTTTGGGATGGATTTTGGCTTCACCATTGTTGAATCAATGCTAGAGACTCCATCTTTTGGCTTTGCTTGAACAATTTCCAGTCCTTTGTCTTCAACAACCTCAGAATCATATTTTTTCATAACAGAACAAGCTGCCTCCCCACCTGCTTTCTCAATGTCCTCATTGAGACTATAGAACATGCTCTCAATGTCCTCATTGAGAACATGCTCTCAAAGTCTTATTTAATGGAGCCCTCATCCTCAGTGTTGGGGTTTAACCCATTAGAGGCTTTGCCATAAAGAGTGGTTTTAATTTCTTGAACAACAGCAGAATTCTCATCATTTGAGTATATGTCATTTCAATACTCTTTTGGATTCGCAACAGTTTTTCCTGGTAAAGATCCTTGAGAATCAGAAGTGCAGTTTCCTTTGTTGTTCTCAAGGGTCTTAACCCTAGTTCCCAGTGTCTTAATCTTGGAGCTGAGATCTATGTAGAAGAAGTCCATTTTGTGCTTATCTCTTGCTGTCATTTGAGTATCTGTTGAGTTACTCCATGAATGTCAAACTCTGGTTGCTGAGAAGGGCTTTGTTGTGCTGGATTCGGATTGAAACCTGGAGGGAATGTTTTCTTTGTTTGAAAGCTCTCCTGAATGTTAGAATTGTTTCCTTGATTAGACTGAACAGCACTTTGTTGAGCATAGTACTGCGGCCCTTGGTAGTTCCCTTGAAACAGATTCCTATTGGTGAACCCTTGATTCTGACCTTATAGAGGGGGATAGACTTAATCTTGAGGGTTTGAAACATTGATATTTCTGTAAGAGAGGTTTTGATTATTGTATTTGTGAAACCTCTGATTGTTGGATCTGTTCTAGCCCCCAATGAAGTTTACTTCCTTTTGAGAAGCCATTAAAACTTTGTCAATTTTAGTTCGCAGCTCCTTGATATCCTTTCTCATGTTCTGCTCCTCAGGAGAACCTTTGCCTCTATAGCTCCTGTCATATTCCTCCCCATAGGTATCATTGCTCATTGCATCTCAACTAGCTCCATGGCAGCATTGATCTCCTTGGCTAAGAGGTTCCCATTTGATGCAGTGTCTAGTTGGTTCCTGAACTTGGGAAAAACACCTCTATAAAGAGTGCTAAGTAGAGAAGCCTATGAGAATCCATGGTGAGGGTATTGATTAGAGTAGCTTCTGAATCTCTCCCAAGCCTCACAAAAAGTTTTATTGTTGTGTTGGGTAAAGGATGAGATCTGGTTCCTTAAATTTACAGTCCTCAAAGTGGAGAAGAATTTGGACAGGAATGCTTGTTTGCATTGCTCCCAGGTCTGTATAGAACCCTGAAGAAAATTCTTCTCCCACTGTCTTGCCTTATCTCCAAGTCTGAAGGGGAAAAGTCTCACCTTGAAACCATCTTCAGATACACCATTTATCTTTGGAAGGTTGCAGACCCTATCAAAATTGTTTTGATGGTCCAAGGGGTCCTCCATAGGTAACCCATGAAACTTGGACTTTTGCACTATGTTGAGGAGAGATGCCTTCACTTCGAAATTATTATTCTCCACAGCTGGAGCTTGAATACCCTGCCTATTCTGGTGTGCATTGGCCCTGTTATTGGCCCCAACAAAGATATGATTCCTCACTTCTTTATGTGCCTCACGCATGGGAGGGTTTGGGTGGGCTTGTTGTTGATTCTGAGCAACACCTTGAGGTTGGTGATGCCTCTGCTGGTTCTGGTTCCCTTGCCCTTTTCTCTGATGGACTTGTTGATGTGGACCCTGAACTCCATTACCCTGAGCTCCATTACCCTGAACCCCATCTTGAGCCTGGTGCTCTTCCTGGTTTCTTTGCTGTTCCATTTTCACAACTAGACCCTCTTCTCTTGGTCTTCTTCGTCTTCTCTCTAACAGATTGATGTTGTCTATGTACGGGAGAGGAGGATCACAGCTTTTGGATCTTGTTCTGGTGTTCATTCACCTGGAACTTCAACGACAGAACTCAAATGGTTTATCAGAAAAACAAAACAAAAACGGCTTGATCTCAAGATGAATCCAGAAACTAATACTAGATGCAACACACAATGGCAACGACGCAAGATTGAAACAATATCTTTATCAGATTCTTGTGGGTTCAATTTCCCTTGATGTTGTAGCACAAGAGGTGTCAATCCAATGTGTATGATCTAGATACCAACTTAGTGGATGCAGTCCTAATCCAAGCTAACAAGATGATGTGGTTTGTGACAAGTGACAAAATGAAATTAAAATGGCTAGCAAGATAAGCAAATTAAAACAAAAGATGTTGATTGATATAAAAGATGATTAAAGGCTAAGGTTCTAGACATGATAGTTGATCAGGGTGCACTGGTGTTAAACTATAGAGCTAATGACAAACAATCAAGCATACCAATCAACTTAGAACTCAAATCTAAACTAATCCTTTCCCAAGATATTAATCTTTATACTAATCCACTTTTAAACCTAATTTCCATAATTGAAATATGAATCAGTATGCATTATTAAATACCTCTAACATGTCATTTATGCATTAAACAATCATTCCCATGATGAACAAAGCATAAACCTCTAATTAGCTGGTTCTGTCATTTCATCAAACACCTTGTGCGTGGAGAAATACCTAAGCTCTAAAACAAAGGGATTACCAGAGATCTAGCATTAAGTATAGCTAATTAGAGAAAGGAAAATGCATGATCTAATTCCTAAACTCCCTAATCTAACACTTTTGCACCCTAATCTACATATCTAGAACCTTATAAAAATAACTACTCACTAATCATAATCAACACACTTAATCCTTTGCAAGATGTGATGTTTATCATGATTAATGATGTGAGATGAGAAGAAAATATGATAAAGTGTTAAGAAACAACTCTTGATTTGATTAAAACCTAAAGATATTGATAACACCATATTTGTACCCATTTTCATTAGTGTTTTCTTATGCTATTTCAAAAATTTTAACTAATTTCAAGTGATTTTATCAATGTTTTCCGATATTTGTAGTTTCAAGACTCTTTTCAGGTTACTTAGGCAAAAACATTGCAAACTGGAGAAAATCCACTTTTGGCCTATTTCGGACCGTCAGAAGTTTCACATCCGATGAAGACCTTCTCACCGTCCGATCAAACTCAAATTTCGACACAAGATAGAGTAGACAACCAGCGCTCTAATGAAGTTGGATTTGAAGCAGTCTTGGATCATAATTTATTTATAATTTAATGAAGACATATTCTGCAGTCTCGCAAAAGAAGCTAGAGAAGGAATAAAGTTTGGACATCATAAGCCAACCACTGCGGTCCAGGAGCTCGTGACCGCAATGAACACTCTCCTGGCCACGCCTCAGAGCCCTCCAATCACGGTGAACAATAATTTACAGCCCTGGAGAGACTTCATTCTGCGACAAGCCCATTTTCGGCCCAATGGCCAGTTTTTAAGCCCAACTCACTCTCTCTTCAAAGAAAGCCCTAAGGATGACCAGAAAGACTTGGAGACCTATGAATATGTATTTTACAAGACCTAATTTGTGTTTGCTCCTTTCCCCTTGTTAGGGAGGCACCCAACTTTTGTTTCTTAGGTTTAGATTTGGGAGATAGAGATTTTTCTCTTGAACCTTTGTTATTTCTTTTCATCTATCTATTCAGTTTATGCAATATATTTTACTTAACTGTTTTTATATTTTAAAACCAATGATGATGTTTTCAAGCTCAGCCATGTCTGAATAGTTACCTTGTTGGGTAAGAGGGCCATCGAAAGAGACCCCATGATTGATGACATATAGGTTTTTTAGGTTAAAGGAATTGAATTTTAAATGATTCTCCCATTCATCCTGTGCTCAAAGTGGTATGCTGGAGTAGCTAACCAGTGTCCGATCCAAGGTTAAATCAAAGTCACGAGAGTGTCGTATCTAGGTTACCTGAACTGGAACTTATGGACGTCCCCGTCGTAGGAGACGAAAGCTACCTACAAAGGTTACATAATCCAAGATGGATTGCGATCTGAAATGCATGATCTTATTCCAGCATGAAAGCAGAGTTAATTGCCGATTTTAAGTGATTAGATGATTAGGGTGACGAGAGTAGGCTAATCTTATAAGTGTCTATCCTAGTTTCAGAATCATAGAAAATCCTTACCTAGATTGATTGTGTCATAGATCATGAACCCTAGAGAGAAACCCTAATGCCCAACACGTTTTTCATCTGTTGTTCTCGTCTATTGCTTTTAGTTTTGTTTCTTGTTTAGCTTAGTAGAAATCGTGAAACCAAAACTCCACAAAAACTCCCATTGGTCTTTGACTTTGATTACTAATCCAGTTTGAAGTTTTTTCAGAAAAGACAACTCTCCTTGTGGATCGACACACTAAGTACTACAACACAGAGCTGTGCACTTACAAACACTAGGGTTTACAAATTTAAAACTTCTCCTGCGATATCAACCCTAGCTCACATAAGATATCTCTTAACACAAAGAGTTTTATACAAAAAGAGGCAAGATACCAAAAAAGGATAAAAGATGTTTAGGGTTTTAAACCCGAAAACTATTTATAGAGTGAGCTTTGGACCGGGTCAGCCTAGGAAAAATAGGGTACTGACCCCGCTTGGGTCAGTCCTTCAAGTTGAGGCCTCCATGTCGAGGCACTGAAATCTGGGTTAAGAACATGAAAAACATGAAGAACAGGTGAGGCCTTGGATTGATTCTTCTCGAGGCATATGAGCCGAGGCACGCTTTTTTCTTGTTCTAGGAAGTCAAAAACAGGAGGCCTCGATGTAGTGTGGGTCGTGGCCTGAAGTCGAGGCGTTGCACATTTAGCTTCGGGAGCTGCCTCGAGTTCAAAACTTAGTCGTGGCCTGAACTTGAGGTCTTGGACATTTACTTCGGGAATTAGCCTCGGCTTGTCTGTGAGTTGTGGAATTTGTGTCGAGGCATGCCTATAGGATGTTGTGAAGCCATACCTTGAGTTGAATTGGATTGTGGCATTCATGTCGAGACATATTTGTCACTTGTACACTAACAACTCCATAGTTACATCAGGATCCATGGAGACATGTGAGTGCTTGAACCGGTGTAATTCCCAAACCAGTAATCTAAACGACTCACCTCTAACTCCAGAAGGAATTCAACTCACTTGCCTAGAACTTTTATGAAGAGCCCGAGTGCATCCAGGGAGAGCAACGCTTCCCGGGCGGCTGTTCTTTGAGGCATATCGGAATGATCCAGAAATGACTTCGATACATGTTTTTCTACTGCCAGCGATAAATTTCAGCTTGCTCGCTGCTCCAAATCAGGTAATTCCAGGTGTTCTAGAAGCTGACTCAATGCTATGAAATCTGGAGGAAGACACCAGAGACTGAATCGGCTGGGAAGGGCTTCGTCTCAGGCCATCTTTGGAGCGTATCAGTACTTGAGAGATTTTGCCGAGGATCTCGTACCACGGTTCCGGTTTTGGCCGAGGAATGCAACCCGCGGTAAGGCTTTTCGCCGAGAAAAAGCTTCCTGCGGTACCTGGTTTGGCTGATAAACTCCAAAATGCCATTTTCATCATTTCTTCATCTTCATTCACCATATCTTCCACTAGTTCCACCTTTTTAATTCCAAATAAGCTCCAAGGTACCTGATTGACACTCCAAACCTGCAAGACTCACTTGAACCTAATGCAAACTCCTAAAAGATAAAATAATGACTTTGAGTACAAAGAAATCTATCTAAAATGCATGAATGAGACTATGAATTTGGACTTAAAATGCATCCTAAATGAGTAAATATATGAATATATCAACCCGTCAATCCAAGTAAATGCACTTTAACTCTGTAATATGAGTCTTGACAAAAGTCATAGAAGATAGTGCACATATATCTCCAAGTTTCTCCCTTTGCTCCTTGTTTCTCTAACTTAGTTACATAATTCACTTTGATAGCTGTCAAAATGGGTTGTCCATTTTGACCCATCCAATACTGACCATTTGGATTATGGACAAACAATGACCATGACCATTAATGACTATGCCCATTAACGATCATGGCCATTAAGGACTATGTCTAAATAGGCTGTCCATGGTGTCCACTGGTCACATACTTAACATATTTTTTGGTTTTGTTTTTTTCTTTGTTCTATAAGACAATGATTCATAATTAAAGCAGTGTAATTTCACATGATTCAAGTCTAGATCATTGTAAGATAAGAACAGATGAAATAATCATCATCAACATAAATATAAAGTCCAAAAGTTTAGAGAACAAAGTTTTCAAAGTTT